TTATGTGAGTAACAAATCAGCTATTCTTAATTCAAATAGCACTAAATGTAATCTTTTGGACTATGAGTATCATAAAACCATGAGCACGCAAGCCAAAATTACGAACAAGAGAAGGCGCACTGGGTATGTCATACCCGAAAGCAATTAACACGTTTTAAATTACATTAATAATATAAATATGAGTGTAAATGTGGATTAACATAAAAAATAATAAACTTTAGAATATTTTAAAGAAAATAATAAATGAATTTCTTAACATACAATTATTTTGCACATCTCTGGCAGACTGAACACATATGCTCTATACAAATACCGATACAGTCAAAAGTCGTTAATTCGGACACCCATAATCCGGACATCAAAGCTACAAATCGACGCATGCGCGTAAGACCTTTACGGTTGCGAATATGCGTGTGCGCATGCGCAAAATACGTTTACGCATGCGTGTTTAATGTATAACGGACGGTATAAGCTAAGCTAAAATTATCTAATTCAGTTAATGTGATGCAAAAGCAAAGTTTATAAAATTAAACGTTTAGCAGCAGTAGCAATAGAAGCTCCCTAAGGTTATGTGATATGCAGATATTGAAGACAATAAAAGGTTTCAAACTTAACCAATTTATTAACAATATATAAAAGAATAAAAACACAATGAATAAATTTAAACAATATCAGTAACTTAGAAATTATAATATAACCATCATTATTATCAAAAATTTCATATATTAAATAGTATTTTACCTGGTCTCCAAAATACTGGCATTCAATACGCGAAAAACGTATCCTAAACAGAAATTATGCGATTTCAAATGAAATTAGCTACACTGTCAATAGGTCCATGCTTAATGATGAAGAAAGCACCTGAAAATTAAATTAAGTCCTTGAGAGCACTTAAATCCGGCCTAACTCCGCTCACTGTAGTTGAACGCGAGGAATCATAGCTTAGTAAAACATCGCCACTAACTTATGTCGAATGCCGCCTTCATGAAGAACATGGATGCTGCCCACGGCAGTCACTCACATTGTAACTTCTTTTGAGAATCCAGGAAAAGTCATCTTGTAGACTGGAACCAAGGAACTTATACGGGAAAAGTCATCTTGTAGACAGGAACCAAGGAACTTATTCAGGAAAAGTCATCTTGTAGACTGGAACCTCGGAACTTATCCCCGGACTGCACGCATCGCAATACGTCTTTCAATAGGGGCTGGACACCGCACACCCAAGAATTAAGAAAGCAGGAACTAGAAGGGTTGAGCCAGAGCGACGCAAGATACTTATACCAAAAGTAGGCATGACGTCATCTCACGGCAACCAATCGGCACGACTCGGCTTTCCAGATGACGTAACATCACGTTTCGTTTTTCCATCTTAATTGGGTTGAAACACTTCGTTCTCAACACAAAACAGTGGCAGTGGAAAAACGAAGTAGAAGTAACTATATCCCTTTAAAAATAAGAACTAAGCCTAATAAATATTTCAAGGAGGAGAGATGATGCAGAAAAAGGGTTACAATAAGTCATATTTTCCAACATAATGTTGCAGATTGTGTTGTTCCTTAATCTTCGAATTGGATCCGGCTTATTATTTTTTGCAGACTGTTAAAGCAATTTTATAAAAGTAAGCTTGAACTTTTGATTATTTCAAATAGAATTTCCGATATATATTTACTAATATGTAAATGATATACAAAGCGAAAATATGTTTCGAAGTCCATTAAACAAAAGTGGAATTGCTGCAAAAAATGACCTAACCATTCCAAAATCTGTTTATCAATATCACGCTGCTCTGCGATGGGGGAGTGGAACGCGGCGGGGCACAATGAATTGGAAGTTGATCTGTCAGCACTATCCTTATCATCAGGGCAGATGTTTTCATTTTATTTGGCTTATAATTCCTTACTAAATGTAGTATTTTATCTCGATGTATTCCGTCTTTGATATGATTTAAATCAAGTTCCTCGTCATTATAATTCACTTCCGATAGTGAAGAAAGTGACAGAGAGGTTATTGAAAACTAAAACATTTCGATTGACAAATTAGTCGGTATTCTCGACACAGCAATTATAGGACTTAAACAACTTACATTGAAAGAAATGTTTAATAAACTAAACAAATGAATATTAAGCTTTTTTTTTTTTTTTTTTTTGTAAATTTTGATACCTTTTAGATCATAATTGTTCTTTATTTCATAAATTACAGTTTCATATTTTTAATTTTATAATTTCTGCATGCCATCTTACCAGATTTAAACTGATGATCAATAATCCGGAATCGCCGAAGTTAATGACTTTTGACTATTACATTTCTTGCACAGAAACTGTCTTTTTGTCCTTGTTTTTAGGGCACTCAGCGCATCTTCTGTAAATGTTTTTCATGTTTTTAGATGGTGTTTCCATGTTGTAATCTCCTGAAATTATTTATTCTTTTAGTTTCAAAGGGAGCATGATTTGCTGCCGCCGTTGATTTGAGTAATCTTCCACTTTCGAATAACCAGTATTTCCTAGAATTTTAAAGATAATGATTTTAGAACTAGTCCTAACATTCGTTCAGAATTTGTTTTTCTTCCATGCCAAGCCATTTTTACCAACATAATTTTCATCATTTCATTGATTTTCTAATTCACTATCTAATTCAGTGTCTGTTGATGAATTACAATTGCTGTTGTGTTCTTCATCTATTAATTCTTCCTCCTAATCTCTAAACGATTCATCATCTGTTAAAATGGTTTCTAGAATATTTCTCAACCTTTTCCATTTCATTATCATAACTTAGATTCCATTCCATGCTGACTAAATAAGAAACTGAGGGTGAAAATCTGAGACGCTAGAAAGCGTGTGGGTGTCACATACCCAAATAGTATAATTCCTAGAAAAATATTCGAAGAATCATTCCATGGATTTCCCAGCTTCATTATTGTGACCTTGAATTCAGCTACAAAAGGTTTCGTCCATTTCCAGGAAAGGGGTTATGAGATAAGGGACAAAGAATATGCCCGGGTATAAGATATCCGGCGTGCATGCTCGCAGGTTAACACAATCTATTTTTAGCATATGGAAAGAAATTTCCGTTAAAATTTTTTCTCATCAACATTTCTGGAGCATTTTAACTTAAAACTGTAATTATTGCCAAGCGTAATGTCTGTCCATGTAAAAGGTTACAGTACTTTTTGCTCTTCAATTACGAATAGGAAAAATTTATTTAGGCATCGCTGCATGAGTCATTATTCAAGTTGTCATGTATTGATAAACGTGCAGTGATGAAAGAAAAATAATATAACGATTCGCCACTTTATGTCAGGGATATGAAATGTTAATGTAAAATCAGTAATGTTTGTATGTAGAATGTTTTCGTTTGAGATGTATGCTAAATAGATTCTTAGTCAAATTATTGATGATGCAAATTTATGCTAAAGTGATCGCTTCTTGAATAATAAGGTATTTTATTTAGTGCCGCAGTGAAATTAAGAATTGAAACTCTCTACGTTTTATTATGGGGGAAAATCAAATGTACATGCTTAAAGCATCCAAAAAGCAAAAAAAAAAAAAAAAAAAATCTTAAAGAAAAAGAAGAAAAAAGTGGTTTGCTGCCAGATTTTAGATCATTCCGGATATTTGATGTCCGGATCTCGACTTTAAGAAATACTTGTGTGAGAGAAATGAAAATAAACTTCAATTGTTGATTGTATTTTCTCCGAGTTGAAGTGCAAGATGATTTTCTGTGTGCTTAGTAAAGAATAGATTTAAATTCAGTATTAGTGATGACATGTTGGAAAAACTTGTATTGGCAAAAACAGCCTTTATTGTTGTGAGTGAAATTAAGGTGTTTCTTTCAAGAAGGACCTCTTCTGTTAACAGTTATTGTATTGAGAAAAATGAATTCACTGTCTGTTAAAAAGTACAAATAATAGAAATGCTTTTTTACTTATAATTTTTATAATATTTAATGCATTTAATAATTAGTGACTGCACTTTCATATATTTGATGCATTTAAAGTTAGTTCACTATTTCACTAAAAATATTTTTAATTATTTAAAATTTTTATTTCTGAAAAAATCTCATAATTTCTTTTTTTTTAAGAAGTCATGTTTTAAATTTCGTAGGTTGGCAGTTCTGTTATTATAATCAACTAAGTAAAGCAATGAAGATGATAGCCTAACTTTTTATCAATTTCAAAGCAGATGGTCAAGTTTTAAATATCACCGAGAATGCAATACAAACTTAATATTCCTGCTGTAAAACAGCAATGAAAGTAAGTAAAATTTCAAGCAGTAGAAGGAATAATAAACAAATGAACATCTTAAGCATTGCAAAGGATTATGAATTATGCAAGTTAGGATAAATTACACAAATTCCTTGGCTTTGAAAGTTTCTTTTACATAACTTTTTATAAAAGACCTATAGTAGTATTTTTTCTCATTAAAAAATTGTGGAAGAAGGAAAGCAAAAGGTAATGTTTGTTTTGCAGTGAGCAACCTAATAATACAGGGTGGGCAGAGAGTGTTACTAAAAAAGAATTTCATTCATAAGCAGGAGTTTTACTTTTTGTGAAATGTGAGAAATTGCTTGTTATTCTTTCCTTATTTTCAAAAATATCACTAGAAGTGGGAAAAAAAGTAAGAGAATAACTGGAAAATTTTATAAAGAAAAGTATTAAAAAATGGAAAAGAGGGATGGAAAGTGGATAACAGCATAGAGGTTTTAAACATCTTGATGCATTTTTCCAGCCATATTAGGCCTGAGAAAGTTGCATTACTTTTATTACTGTTATGCGATAACAACAGTATTGTAAAATAATAATTATGAATTTGCAGAGGAAAGGTTGGAAACTGAGCAAATAGAAATGATAAATATTGCAAGGAAGACATCATGCAATATTCATCATGAATATTCTGTGTACATTATTTGGCATAACAATAAATTAGCATATGTTCTATAATAAACTATTATTTTTTTTAATTTTCCTTTTATGTATGGATTTTTTTTTTTTTTTCCCCTTTTAGCTGAGACAAGAGAAGGTGCAGTTAGAACAAACCTTAGAACAAGAGCAAGAAGCTCTTGTAAATAAGCTTATGAGGAAAATAGAGAAACTTGAAGCAGAAACTCTTGGAAAGCAAAGTAACTTAGAACAGTTGCGACGTGAGAAAGTTGAACTGGAGAACACTCTAGAACAAGAGCAAGAAGCCCTAGTTAATAGGTTGTGGAAAAGAATGGATAAATTAGAAGCAGAGAAGAGGTATACTTAAGAATTATGTGTATATATTTTATCTATTTATCTTACTGCATGGTTTTTTTTAACGAATTAAAAAAATTTTATTCTTTGTAAACTATGTTGCGAAAAGTGGTTGCAGATTATCATACACTGAAGTGACAGGTCATGGGATACATCCTAATATTTTGTTGGTCCTCCTTTTGCCCAGCGAAGTGCAGCAACTCAACGTGGCATGGACTCAACAAGTCGTCGGAAGTCCCCAGCAGGAATATTGAGCCATGCTGCCTCTATAGACGTCCATAATTGTGAAAGTGTTGACGGTGCAGGGTTTTGGGCACAAACTGACCTCTCGATGATGTCCCATAAATGTTCGATGAGATTCATGTTGGGCGATCTAGGTGGCCAGATCATTCGCTGGACTCGTCCAGAATGTTCTTCTAACCAATCGCGAACAATTGCGGCCCAATGACATGGCGCATTGTCATCCATAAAAATCCCATCATTATTTGAGTATGTGAAGTCCATGAATGGCTGTAAGTGATCTCCAAGTAGCTGAAAGTATCCATTTCCAGTCAATGATTGGTTCATTTGCACCAGAGGACCAAGTCCATGCCATGTAAAAACAGCCCAGACCATTATGGAACCACCACCAGCTTGAACAGTGCTTTGTTGACAACTTGGGTCTATGGCTTCGTGGGGTCTGCGCCACACTCAAACCCTACCATCAGCTCTTACCAACGGAAATCGTGACTCATCTGACCAAGCCATGGTTTTCCATTCGTTTAGGGACCAACCGATATGCCCACGAGCCCACGAGAGTCGCTGCAGGCGATGTCGTGCTGTCAGTAAAGGCACTGTATAGTCGGTCTTCTGCTGGCATAGCCCAAGGAAGACAAATTTTGCCGCACTGTCCTATGGGACACATCCCACATTGATTTCTGCGGTTATTTGACGCAGTGTTGCTTGTCTGTGAACACTGACAACTCTACGCAGACATCGCTGATCTCGGTCGTTAAGTGCAGGTGGTCGGCCACTGCGCTGTCCATGGTGGGATGTTATGCCTCAAATTAGATACTCTCTGCACACTCTTGACACTGTATCTCGGAATGTTGAATTTCCTAACAATATCCAAAATGGAATGACCCATGCGTCCAGCTCCAATTATCATTCCGCGTTCAAAGTCTGTTAATTCTTGTCGTGCGGCCATAATCATGTCAAAGCCTCTTCACATGAATAACTTGAATACAAATGAAAGCCCTGCCAAAGCACTTTGCATTTATACATTTTCTATGCGATACTACTGCCATCTGTATATTTGCATATTGCTATCCCATGACTTTTGTCACTTCAGTGTACGTATGAGTGCAGTATGCTCATATCTTCTTGATACTATGATCTGTTATAAGAAGTAAGCTCATCATGATCAAAATCGCAATAACAACCTTGTGTTTCTTGTACATTTATTAAAACACTTAATCGATTTCGTGAACTTAAAATCATTCACTAAGCATGCTAAATCTTTGTGAATATGAAAAGCCTCAAGAAAATCCAATTCACCAATGGAAGAAGCTTTTTGGTTAATTTTGCAGATCCAAAAGTAAAGTTATAAGTCAAAATTATGATTAAATTTAAGAGATCCTTAATTTCGTACATCTGGCATTTGTGCCACTTTTCTGTGAATTTGGAATTCAAACCGCATAGCTGGTAATGGGAATTATCACAAATTAACACTATAAGCAACGAACAATCAGCCACTGCAGAATGGAAATTTCGTATGTCAGTTGGTCGTCTTGCTAAGGCCATGCTTTGACCTGCTGTGATGAAAGCATGACCTTCAGGAAGATGGCATTATAATCATACACTAAATTATAACATAATTTCTTAAGTTTTTCATGAAGAAGAGTTCAATAATGTTTTTTCTGTGATCAGCTCCCATTAGGTTATAAAATCTTCAATCTTCTAATTATTGTTAGTTGTGCTTGTCAATGCGAATTTAGTTATTTGTTTGATTTCAAAACAAGGAAGAGATAAATTTTCAGTCACTAAAATGTTAAACTTGCTTTATAATACATTCTGATGTAAATATGTTATGCAAATTATTATGTAATTATTGCTTTCTATATATGTGTGTACTAGGATGCTGCAAGAAAAACTTGACCAGCCAGTATCTGCACCACCATCTCCAAGAGATATTAATAATGGGGACCTTGCTGCTAATCTAACAATGCATGTTCAGCACCTTCGGAATGAAGTGGCCAAACTAAAAACTCAGTTATTGAATGCCCAACAAGAACGTAAATATATTCAAACTTTTATTTTTATGTTTATAATTCTCTAATATTGGTTGCTAAGTGCTTTAGGCTGACTGACAAGATAGTGCAAGTGTTCACTGAAACACATTTTGGCACTTTAAAGTGTTTCAAAATAAGCAATCATCATATCTTTATGCAGTATTCCTTCATGGTGCTATTCCAAAGCACACTTCTTCTCTGACCGACCCCTCATGACATTTATTTTCAGTAACCCTACTGAACATTAAATTTTAACTCTTTTAAAAAATATACTTTATGTATCTTCATGAAGTTAAGATGTAAACAGAGTTGGTGAAGCCAGACGTGATGAATGGCTCAGTTTTCACATAATGATTTTTTTCTTTTATCGTCTCTTGTCACTCTCTTATTTCAGTGCAGTATAATTGGCATTGATGCCCTCGACCATTTTTTAAATTTAAAACAGTACAGTAGTTTATTATTCTATTTGATGCATAAAAAACTTAGCATATAAACTTCCACTGATACTCCTTTCTTATATATGAAGTAATTTAAATTTTCCTTTCAATTTGTATTTTTTCCTTTTGTGTGTGTGTTAGAATTTTTTTTGCATTGTTGTTTTTGTTCTGAAAGTTATCTGTTTACATTGAGGATAAGATAATACGGAATACAATGAATGTAATATTATTTCTTAAGATGAAAAAGGTATTTAATTTTAATTATAAATTGCTTGAAATTAGTTTTTTGTTTATTGAAATTAATATTTTTTTGCAAAATAAAACTTTATGAGAAAAGCGGGACTTATGTTGTATCAATTCATAGAATTCAACTTTTTGTTTTTGAATTTGTTTTAAACGAATTCTATCAAATTGTCTTGATAAACACACAAGATTTAGAAACTAAAAATCAGATAGTTTTTATGTTGTACGTTAATGACTGGTTGATGATGATCATAAAATATGAATAAAGTATGTTTTTTAAAAAGTCATATTATTTATTATTTCATAAGCTAAAATGAATTTAGAAAATTTTAATTGTTAACAAGCTATTTAAATAATTTCTAGAGTTGGGTACTTCCTTATTATTACAATTTTATAAAGTTATTACAAGTTGGTTTCAGGATTATTGCTAATTCCATGATTACTTCACATATATTTTATGGCTGCCATGTTTTGCAGTTGTTTTTAATGGGCTTATCAGAAGCATTTTTTCATTCCAAGGACTTTTGCCACATGAACTCTGCAAGATGTAAAACTGATGATACTGATGAACTGTTCCTCATTGATTTTTTTTACTGCAACTCACTCTTCCTCTTCTCTGGAACTGTGTTCACCTGAGACAATGCATATATAAACGGATGAAAGTCAATGGAACAGTGTGTTCCTTCAGACAACTATTAGACTATCAAAAACTTAAGATTGTTTTGTGACTGCTGGTTATTTCATCTTTCCGAGAATTCGTTAAAAAATACTATTTCCATGGAAACTCTCAGTGTGGCCTTTCATTTTCTCAGAACTTGGTCGATAGATTAGGTACAGCTGTATTCCTTCCCCCTTTGGAAGAGCTTTTCTCGAGTTCAGTCGAGAGAAAAGTTAATCTCACTACTGCACTAGTTCGCAAAAACACACGCACAGGAGGTCAAGATTTCTATCCTCTAAATAATATCCTCAAAGCACATTTATAGTGGAGCACAGCTGCATTCAGTAATGTCAGTAATAGACAGTTCACATATATGTGAATTAGGCATTACCCTTAGAGGCGAGAACTTAGTAAATTCAAGTGTGGGTTCTTTAGTTTTGAAATCACAATTCATGTTCAAACAAAACACATTTAATGAAACATTAATACATCTATAAGATCATTCATCTATTAATACAGCATCTTTAACATTGTTTATCTATTCCACAACATCTTATATCTATTAACATGACAACTGTAACATCTTACATCTATTAATACAACATCTATATCATCTTGCATCTATTAATACAAAATCTATATCATCTTACATCTCCTCTCATAAAACAAAGTGGCGAGAGTTCTATCAATTTCACTCGTGCAGTCAACAGCTAAAATTTAGACAGCATGCGAGGAAAAATATTAAGCTGTGGATTTAAAATCCCACATTCGGCCTTCCTGCTATGCATCAACCTCGACATTATTTTACTCTTGGCATCATAAATCATTGGCCATCTTACATCATCGTTGTCTTCGGTAAAAGAACCATCACCATGAATAAGCCGAAACCTGAAAAGAAATACCAATGGTGATAGGAAGATTGTTTGCTTGAAAGGAAGCATCTTAATTGTCCTTCATCTTTGCGACTATAACATCGTCAACAGTTCTTTTTATTTTTCAGGAATCTTCATATTACCTAATATTGCTTTAGGAAATCTTGTTTTGGGAACAGAAGGTTCTTCAAAGAAAGATTTACGTCTCATATATATAGTCCTTATCTTAGATTTAGTTGATTCGTAAGTTGAAGTCGCACTAGAAAATGCTGTTGGAACAGCATCAGCATCACCTAGGTCTCCATAATGTTCCCAATCATCAGCATCAAGAATTTCTCACAATTGACAAAATTTTTCATCAGTGATACATATTTTTCTTTTCAGTTCTGCTTGTTTAGCAAATAATCTCTTCTCCATCATTTTTCTCATACGATGCTTTTCAAAAGGTAGCTTTTCTTGCATTTTCAGTTTAACGTGTTGAACTTCTTTTTCTTTCTCAGACAGGATTTTATTGTCAGTCCTCATCTGAAATTTTGCAGCTTCTACTTCATTCTTTGCTTCTGATAATTGTTTCTGTAACATTTTTGCAGTCTGTTCTGATACAGAAACTTTTCTTTCCAAAGATCTAACTTGTTCAGGAGCATCCAAATCCATTTGTAAAATAGTTTTTTCCTGCTTTAGTTGTTCTTTACCTATAATTGGTAAATGTCTGGTCTGGGTCTCGAAGAAATAGTTCGGTCATCTTTTAAAATAACATGCATTTCAGTATTAGTAGATTTTCTTTGGCTTGTGTTCCCTTAACTTTTTCAGGCGTACCAGGATCCAGTTCTTTAGCTGGAAATTTCACTTGCTGTTTACTCTTTGCTACTGTTGATATTCCTGTTTCACCAGAATTATCTTCAACCAGTTTCTCAAATTCTGAATTCTTTCTTTTCCTAGAACTCTTTGGTTCTGAAGTGGGTTTTTTTTTTTTGGAATCATTAATTTTTCCATTACTCTCTTTGATTTCCTGAACTTTCTTAGGTGGATTTTTTTCTTCTTCATTTAGGAATTGAATTCTTTCTTTCCTCTACATTTTGCAATTTTCCTTTTCCATGTTTAACATCATTTTTTTCTTCCCGAGACTCCTCTTCCTTTAATTCATCTTCAACAACATCTCTTTCTTCTATAGGTTTTCCCTTTTATTAAGAACATGATTTTCAATTAAGTGTTTTACTTTGGACTTAACATACTTTATTAATATCCAAACTATTATCTAACTCATTTTCTTGATCAATACTTATATACATTAAACTCAATTCAGTTTTATCTTCTACTTTCATAGATATCCCGCTCTTGTTTATAATGATTTCCACTTTCGAAAGCAATTTATTGCCAATAACAGCATTTTCTTGCATTGTTCCTTGAGGCACAACATAAATATTTGATTTAATTTCACAATCATCAATTCTTATGGAACTTTTAAAATAACCAATAGGTTTTACTTTATTGTTATCAATACGTACTAGAATCAGTTTGGAAGAATTAATATTAGGTGAACCAATTACTTTATAAATGTTTTCCGATACTATATTTATATCACTTCCTGTATCAATGAGAGCTTTTACTTCTACCTTATCTGTCGATACAATTTTATGCATATCATTTAACTGCTTCTTTACAAATATATGATTCACTCTGGCAAGATCTTTTATATTCAACTTATTTTTTGTACATTCTGCACCTATGTGTCCAAATAAATTACAACGAAAGCATTTTTTTCCCTTGCTCTTATTTTTGCAAAAATTCTCTGCGTGACCAAGATTTCCACAGTTGTAGCAATGAATATTTGTTTTTATTTTACTTTCAAAATGGTCGCTTCTGGTTTTAGAATTAGGCTTAACAGATTTGTTTTTATCATTATCTAATTTAATTTTTTTATATATCTTAAGTTTTTCCTGAAATTCTGCCCTGTTTTACAACCATAAAGAATAGCTTTATTAACTGTAGAATCATTTATACCATTAATAAGATATTCAAATAAAGCAGCGTTTTCCATATTACCTTTGGAACATAGATTTTTAATTACCAAAAAATATTCAGATAGAGATTCTTTTTCCTGCATTTTACGTTTTGATAATAATTCATGTAACTGAGCAGAGTTATACTGAACACCATATTCATTTACTAATAAAGCCTTAACTGCATTCCACGAATTAATTTTCATTTCACTTTCAATAAATAATTTTGCTTTACCAGTTAAAGATCTTTTGGCCAATATCAGTTTCTATAATTCATTTAGTTTTAACAAATTAGATACATCTTCAAAGTTTTCAATAAATTTGTCAACCGAATTATACGGATTACCATTAAATTTAGAAATCAAACTTTCAATATCATTAAAATTTATATACATATTTGAAAACTGTGATAATGGAAATTGAGCTGATGACTTACTAATATTTTGTTTTAGCTCATGATCTTCATCAACAGCAGCAAAAGAAGAGTCGTTGAAAATTCGAGCAGTTGATGCATCGATTTCACTATTATCAGAAGTATTTCTTCTTTCATCCAATATTGCTTCATATTCCTCTATTTGTTGTTTGTAATTTGATCTCGATTCTGACACCAATTTTGTGGGTTCTTTAGTTTCAAAATCACAATTCATGTTCAAACAAAACACATTTAATGAAACATTAATACATCTATAAGATCGTTCATCTATTAATACAGCATCTATAACATCGTTTATCTATTCCACGACATCTATAACATATCTATTAACATGACGACTATTAACGTCTTACATCTATA